TCTATCTATCTATCTATCTATCTATCTATCTATCTATCTATCTATCTTCTATCTATCTATCTATCATATCTCTCTCTCTTTTTTTCTCTCTATTATTATCTCTCTCTCCTTCTGTCTCTCTCTTTGTGTCCATCTATCTTCCATTTACCAATTTATTTATTTAAATGTTTATGTAGCCACCCATATTATAATAAACTCTTGGTGGCTCCCAATCAAATCTTTCTCAACAATATGTGAAGAGAGTTGTCCTTGGTTTCTGTTGGGAAGGCATAATTTTCAGGAGAATCACACTAAGTAAGGGATGGTGGCACTGATAACATCACAGCTAATAAGCTGTCTCTGTTTATTTCTAGGTTTTCTTTAAAGTGGTGGAAGGAGTTCTTAAGATACCTGTTTGGATCAGCATGAACCACGTAAGAATAATACTTTCCCAAGACCTTATCTGGGTTTTCTTGGAGTCAAGGCCTCCATCACTTGCTTATCACTTCAGCTTTGTCATTGCTGCTTTCAGACAGCGTCCCTTGCCGGAGGTCTGGTGTCCACCATTGACAGTGTGACATTGCACGTTGCACACAATCTGGGAGGAAGTCCTTCAACCATAACAATCCAAGGCACTTCACCCGTGGCAGGTGAGATTTATTAGGCCTCTGTCCGGATTTGTTTTCCAACACAGGAGATGAATAATTGAGCATAAGCCACTTTTGTGGCTTTTTGCTTACTGACATGAACTTTTCTTTTCCTGTTTTCACTGGGATGGAAAGTTCATCCCTCCTTGAGGAACATCTAGAAGGAGTACAGGAAAGGAAGGAAAAACAAAAAATAGAAAAAGAAACGCCAGCTTCGGTTGACTTAGTTCAGGTGTTCCAAAGTGGGTTTTCTTAAAACCTTTAACAGATTAACAAAGTTGCAAGGGACCTTATAGGTCATCTAGTCCACCCACCCACCCAGGAGACCCTACACCATTTCTGACAAATGGCACTCCAATCTCTTCTTGAAAGTCTCAACTGATGACTTCTGAAGGCAACTTCTGTTCCATGAGTTGATTGTTTTCACTGTCAGAAAATTTCTCCTTATTTCCAGGTTGAATCTCTTCTTGATCAATTTCCATCCATTATTCCTTGTCTGGCCTTCAGGTGCTTTGGAAAATAGCTTGACACCCCTCCTCTCTGTGGCATCCCCTCAAATATTGGAAGACTGCTATCCTGTCTCCCCTGGTCCTTCTTTTCACTAGACTAGCCATGCCCAGTTCCTGCAACTGTTCATCATACATTTTAGCCTCTAGTCCCTTAATCCACACTCTTTCTAGAATCTTTTTTGTAGTGTGGTGACCAAAACTGGATGCAATACTCTAGGTGTGGTCTTACTAAGGCTTTGTAGACTGGTATTAGTACCTCACTTGATCGCAGCCACACACTGCTGGCTCCTATTTAGCTGGTTGTCCATCAAGACTCCAAGATCCCTCTCACAGTTACTGCTATTAAGCCTGGTTTCACCCAGCCTATATGTGTATTTTTGGTTTTTCTTGCCTAAGTGTAGGACTTTACTTTTCTCTACATTGAATTTCATTTTGTTAGATACAGCCCAATGTTCAAGTCTATCAAGATCCATCTGGATTTTGAGCCAATCTTCTAGGGTGTTGGCTATTCCTGCCAGCTTATTATCTGTAAATTTGGTAAATTTAGTCATTTATGAAGATATTGAAGAGTCCTGGACCTAAGACAGAACTTTGTGGTACCCCACTGCTTACTTCCCTCCATGTAGACATAGACCCATTAAAGACTACTCGTTGAGTACATTGAGAAGATCTTGGCCTTCACACAGGCATTGTGTTGTCGCCTGATGACCTCTCTGGTGGATGCATCTATCAAGCATCAGCCATGGTTCTTCCAGCTCTGTTTGCCTTGTTCTGGAAGCAGATTAAAATTCCGCACTCAGCAGCATAGATCAAAATGTAAGCTGCCGAGCTAACACTGCTGGACTGAGCATCTCTGCCAGTTGCCACAAAACCTTAGAGAATACCAAACAACAAAAGCCACATTTCTCCCTCTTTGGATCCCTTTTTAAAAATATTTTGGCTGTTGCAAAATGGTATATAGTTCCTTCTTCTTTTCTGATTAAAGCTCTAGAATATTTTCCCCCCTGCTGGTTTGCTTCAAAAGACTCTGATTGCTAAAAATGTTAAAAGAACAGACCTGGGGGCTCAACAATAAGCGGGAATTGAACAGCCCCCTTTTCATTTAAGCAGGAAAAGTGACTAACTGATGGTTTCGCTCTCTCTTTCCTTCGGGTTTTGATTGAGTGTTTTGCATTATTATACAGATTATTCCCTGGTTAAAATGCCTCCGCAGCTCCCGGATGTGCCTCAATATCGCTTCCCATTACAAGGACAAAGTTACATTACTCTACCTGGAGAAGCCTTCCAATATTCAGGTGGGGGAATACTTTAGTACAAAAAAAAGAGAAAGGTCAAATTTGCTGCCTTTGGCTCTCTCTCCCGCCAGGCAAGGTTTTTCACCATATGGCTGGGGGATTATGGGAATTAACATCCAGCCCATCTGGTAGGCTGAAGAAGATGCCAGGAGAAACCAGTTTTGGTTTTTTTTCCTGAATTGTCCTTCTTCTGATCCTCAGGTCAAATCTCATGTTTCCTTGTTTGGATTGCTGAGAAATCTGTTAATCGAGGGGAAATAACCTTGTTGCTTGCATCTTTACAATTTATATTGTTTTATTTGTTTTCTAGTATGATTTGATTGCTTATTAGTAACCTGTGACTATCACTAAATGTTGTGTCTTATGATTCTTGATGAATGTATTTCCCCCCCTTTATGTACACTGAAAGCACATGCACCAAAGACAAATTCCTTGTGTGCCCAATCACACTTGCCCAATAAAGAATTCTATTCTATTCTATTCTATTCTATTCTATTCTATTCTATTCTATTCTATTCTATTCTATTCTATTCTACTCTACCCTACCCTACCCTACCCTACCCTACTCTACTCTACTCTACTCTACTCTACTCTACCCGACTCTATTCTACTCTATTCCCATTCCCTATTCTATTCTATTCCCATTTCCTATTCTATTCTACTCTATTCCCATTCTCCATTCCATTCCCATTCCATTCTATTCTAAATGGGAAACCGAGTTGTTCCTTGCATTGCAAAAATTGGTATGGCCACTGGAAAGCAGCAGGTCCTCGTGATTTTAGTCCCCCCATACTGCTTTGCCATCTAGTGGTCCTCGTGATTTTGGGCAGCTCCAATCTAGATTTTCCAACGGGGGAATGAATTATTGAGCATTTTAATGACTCTCGATTGTTCCAACTGGTGACAAATTCACACCAATCCTTCCTATTTTTCAACCTTTTTTTCCACAATGATATAAGGGCTGTAGAGGGGCTCCTCAGAGTCAGACCTTGGTATTATTTATTAATTTATTTAACTTATTCAATTTATATATCATCTGACTATTCAAGAGGCTCTGGGTGTCTTACAACAGATAGAGCAGAAGTGATCAAGGATGAACAAGAAATAAAGTTATTGGCATTCAAAGTGGCTTTAAATAGTGGACTTCACCTCTTGCATACTGAAATCCTGATGTTGACAATTTTTGCCTTCTTTACAGCCTGGATTACAATCGTGGGTCTGTTCTACCATTCCATACATCAGTACTTCCATAGCATCAAACCGTTGGACACCAAGTAAGTTCTTTTAAAAGCACAACAACGCGCTTAGTGATTATTCCTGAATATGAGACTGGATGTGTTTGCTTGGCTTCACACATGGTTTCTCGGCTTCAACAATTTTAAGTTGTATGAACTCCTGGAATTCCCCAGCCAGATGGATGGATCGATGGATGGATGGAGGAAGGGAGGGCGGGAGGGAGAGAGGGAGGGAAGGAGGGAAAAGAAAGAGTAAAGGAAGAGAAGGGGAGGAGAGGAAGGGAGGAAAGGAAAGGGTGAAGTAGAGAAAAGAAGGGGATAGAGGAGGAAAGGAGAGGAGAGAAAGAAGAGAAGGGAAAGGAGAGGGAGGGGGGAGGAAAAGAAGGAGGGAAGGAAGAAAGAAAGAGGGAGGGAGGGAGGGAGGGAGGGAGGGAGGAAGGAAGGAAGGAAGGAAGGAAGGAAGGAAGGAAGGAAGGAAGGAAGGAAGGAAGGAAGGAAGGAATTTTAAAACAACCCACTTTGTTTGATCCTCCTCAACTCTCCACCTCAGGACCCCAAAAGTTGCATTTCTCAAACAGCAGTTCCTGAGGGAAACCTCCTTTAAAAGCAAAGACCGGCTTTTCCCAAGCCGATTATCTTGTGGACTGACAGCATGGCACTCAAACAAGAAAAGAAATCTGAGATTCTCACTGAAAAATGCTCAGACACCCTCTCTCAAACGCTTTGTACTTCCCTTTTAAAGGCCTTATCTCATTGAACTTTAAATCACCGGATGGACTCAAGCTAATTTAACTCTGAGATAGACTATCCTTCCACTTTCTCCAGAAGCCAAGGTCTAATTTACACTTCACCCAAAGCAGATAATGGCCTTAGAATCTGTTTGTATCTTTTTGCACTGACCCTGGATTTAAATTATGGAAACTTTGAGTTATATATCGCTCAAATTCTTTCCTGACCTGGGAAATTTCCAAGCCGATTCATAAGGTATTTTCCACCCACGTTGCTTGTCAAAATTGATTTGTTTATGGAAGCAATATCACTATTGAATGAAACAGACCTAGGGTGTGGCTAATTTTTCTCTGCACTGCTGTGGCCTCACCTACAAGTTCTAGAAGTTTATTTAAAGAGGGTAGACCTGTTTGTGTATTGAATATAGGGCAAAGGTAACTTGGATTGTCTGTATAGATTCTCCGTCACCCAGGTCCTGGTTGTCCCAAAGAGGCTTTTTCAAAAGGCAACTGGACTTCCTTTGTTTTTCCCTTGAAGACATTTCGCTATTCATCCAAGAAGCTTCTTCAGTTCTGGAGAACTGAAGTACCAAAGAACCAAACTGAAGAAGCTTCTTGGATGAGAAGTGAAACCTCTTCAAGGAAAAAACCCACAAAGAAAAGTCCAGTTGCCTTTTGAAAAAGCAGCTTTATAACTTGGAATATGTTTCCTTCACAACCTGGACTACAGTTTAGATTTCTAGACTTCCACTCTCAGAATTCCCTCGCCAGCATTGCCTTTGCTGAAAATTCTTTATTTTAAATATAATTTTTATTAAGGATTATTGTTTTTTTAAGAAAAAAAGGAAGATTAAAAACTAATGCATACTAATATAAAGTGAGAATAGGAAAAGAAAACAGGAAGTAAAGAGAAAGCTAAAAGTGCAAGAAAGGAAAGAAAAAAGCCAAAGGAAAAAATATATAAAAAGTCACTTCCAATCTTTTCTTTATACGTTATAAGTACAATTATGAGTATTGCAAGTATATTATGCTGTATGCTATAGTATACAATACTAACCCTGATGGTGTTACTTAGCGAGGGTAATGAAACATCTGTAAGAAAACAACCAAACTCTGAGTTTGTTCCTCTCTCCCTTTTTTAATGAAAACATCTGGCTTCCTTCAAAAATCCTGTTGCAAATAGCAACGCTGAAACTGGTAAACTTTAATTGCTCCCACAACCCACTTTTCCATAGGGAAATCTTTTTTTTTTTTTTTTGTGCAGCAAAAACCAGAAATGAACGCCTGTATGATTAAAAAAAAGGTTTAGTAAAAACTCTTCCTGTTAACAATCATTTAAGCCTCCCCTTAGATTCTCTTAATCAAATAGCAGTGATGTATTTGGCAAATGCCAGCTGTTAAATTCAGTTCTTTGTGGGGTGGGGGGGGCGGAAACCAACCCTCCTAATTCCAAAACTTAAAAATAAAAAAATGTTTGGCTTTTTACCATGCATGCATAGACACACACACACACACACAAACGCTCCATCCAACTATCTAAGGAATGCTAGTTAGTCAGAGGAAGTGAAGAGAGCCAGGATGGTTCGTCAAAAAAAAAAAAAATGCATTTGAGCAATGCATTAGAGCAATGTGTTAATTAAAACTCATAATAAAATCTCCGTTGAATCATGTTCATGTAGCTTTCTTGGCAGAAAGTGATTTGCCAAGCAGAGTTGAGCATAGTTGGTTTATGGTTAGGAAGCCATCTAGAGATGACTAAGATTAAGATAGACAGAGATGTTGAAACACATCCGTGCGAGAAGGCAACCATTTCCACATGGTCACCAAGAAAACTTTGCGGATAGGTCTTGAAGTCATTAAGAGTCAAGTGCCATTTTATAGTGATAGGCAGAGGTAAAGGTTCCCCTCGCACATACATGCTAATTGTTTCTGGCTCTAAAGGGTGGTGCCCATCTCCGTTACAAAGCTGAAAAGCCAGCGCTGTCCGAAGACGTCTCCGTGGTCATGTGGCTGGCATGACTAAACGCTGAAGGCGCATGTAGTGCTGTTACCTTCTCACCAAAGGTGGTCCCTATTTTTCGACTTGCATTTTTTTTACATGCTTTCGAACCGCTAGGTTGGCAGAAGCTGGGACAAGTAACGGAGCTCACTCTGTCACACGGCGCTAGGGATTCGAACCGCCAAATTGCCGACCTTTCTGATCGCATCCCTTTACAGTGATAGTGCCCCTCTATTTTGCACTAGTGAGGCCACATTTGGAAGACTGTATCCACTTCTGGTCACTGTGATAAAAAAAAAAAGATGTGGAGACTCTAGAAAGAGTGCAGAGAAGAGCAAGAAAGGTGATTAGGGGACTGGCGCTAAACCATACGATGACTAGGTATGTCTAAATTAATGAAGAGAAGACTTAGGGGAGACATGATAATATCTTTCAACAGGATATCAATTTATAGCAATTAATTAATGGACCAACTTGCTTCCTGGAACTGTAGTTGCTAAGAGTTTCCCATTAAAAGATTGGACAACCGTTGCCTAGGATCTTATAAGGACTTTTGTTTGGACTAAAGACCTCCAAGGATTCTGTAAGTGTCATTTAAAGAAGACTTGGTGATGCTAATCCTGTTTTTGAGACTCAAGCAGATGCCACAATGGAAAATCTTCCCCCTGCCCTTAGATAAACAACATCTATTTTGATACCTACAAGGCAGACTAACGACCAACTCTTTTTTTTTTAAAAAAAATGCCCTTTTTCCTGGCCAGGCTCCAATTTCTCTAGGTTTCCCCTTAGAGGCTTTTTCTTCCTCATCAAAATCTTTTCAGCCTTTTTCCTCAATGACAGTTGATAGAAAATCCTCACTTTTCAGCTCCTTTGCAAGGGGCCAAATATGCCTCCTTGAAAGTCCAGAAAAAGCTGGATGTGAAATGTCAGGACAAAAAAAACCACCCAGATGTGTTTCACGAGCGTCACCTGGGAGCGAAGCCAACAGAGAGCAAAGTCTAAACCTCCTGGGGTGGAAATAGAAGGAGGCAGATGGCAATCCGATTATTTAAACTTTGTTTGTCAAACGCTCCTTCCAGCTAAGAAAATATCTTGGCTGGCTGGCTTCCTAATCACAGCTTGTGCACCTTTCAGTTTCACTCGGCATCCTGGTTTAAATTATGGTACCTCTGAGAAGGAAACGTTTTTTTTCCCTGGGACATGAAGGGTCTCTTTCATAACAGGAGTATAAATAACAGACCAAAAGAATAATTTGAGGTGGGGAAAGAGAAAGAAAGGGAAACTATCTCCGAGCAGGAAAGCCAGAGGTGGTATTCAACTGGTTCTGACCAGTTCTAGCGAACTGGTAGCGGAAATTTTGAGTAGTTTGGAGAACCGGCAAATCCCACCTCTGACTGGCCTCCCCCCATCTATTCTCTGCCTCCTGAGTCCCAGCTGATTGGCTGGGTCTTCTTTGGTTGCCCTGCACAGGAGAACAGACCTGGAAAGCAGGTTAGTGGGGTGGGGAGGGAAGGGGGATTTTGCAGTATCTTTCCCCTGCCACACCCACAGAACTGGTAGTAAAAATTTTTGAACCCCATGACTCAGCAAAGCCTCAGCTCTTCATGAGATTTTTTTTCTTTGGAGTCTTTGCATTGATTCATTTCTAGGTGCTGAAAGTGTGTGGCGGTCAGCTTGGGTCCTCTTCATAAGGCTGGGGTGTCAAACTCAATTTCATTGAGGGCCGCATCAGGGTTGTGTTTGACCTCGGGGGGGGGGGGCTGGGGGGGGCGTGATCCACATAACTTCACTCATGTTGGGGGATGCCTGTGGTGGCCCGAGTGGTCTGCCAGCAAAAGCAGGCTCCCGAGCTCCGTTTTCAGCTAAGACGGCCTCCTGCAGCCCTCTGTCAGCAAAAACGGAGCTCGGGAAGGCCGCATCCTGAGCTCCATTTTCACTGGCAGAGGCGACGTGGGCTGGTCCTTTGCTGTTTGCAGGACGGTCCCATGGGCCAGATCTAAGTACCCCATAGACCGGATCTGGCCCCCGGGCCTTGATTTTGACACCCCTGTCATAAGACCTTCTTAGGGAGTTTAAGGAATACAATGAAGGGGGTTACTTCTTTTAATATGAGGAAGAGGAGAACTTCTGTGCCCTCTCCAGTTTCCATATAAGAAGGCAAGAGATACAGTTGAACCAACCAAGGTCATAAAAGCAGCTCAGATGCCTCCATCCAAGTCTGTAGGCAAAAAGGTGCTCCAGATCCAATTGGAAGATCAAAGCAACCCTGTTTTCAGGGTCTGTAAAATAGTTCAGAGCAAGCAAGATATTTGCATATAATACAAAACATTTAATAATATATACAAAATATACATATCATACAAAACATCTGTTAGACCGATTCTCGAATACAGCTCATCTCTCTGAAATCCGCACTGCATATCGGACATTAATACAATTGAGAGAGTCCAGAAATATTTCATGAGAAGAGTCCTCCGTTCCTCTACTTGCAACAGACTTGAAATTTTAGGCTTAGATAATCTAGAACTATGCTGCCTTCAGTCTGACTTAAGCATAGTACATAAAATTATCCATTACAACGTCCTACCCACCAATGTCTACTTCAGCTTCAATCTCAACAATACAAGAGCACATAATAGATACAAACTCAGGGTAAACCACTCGAAACTCGACTGCAGGAAATACGACTTCAGCAACAGAGTGGTTAATGTCTGGAATACTCTACCTGACTCTATGGTTTCTTCCCCAAACCCCCAAAACTGTAACCTCAGACTGTCTATTGTTGACCTCACCCCATTCCTGTCCTAATGTTCCCTTTTATTTGTATCTATTTCATGTATTCATAATCATGTTTATACTTATATATATATTATCAAATGCATGCATGACAAAATAAAAATATAAATAAAGACTCTCTTAGAGGTCCTGTAAAAGTCAGTCCATCAGTCAATCAATCAGAATAGAGCTGGAAGGGACCTTGGAGGTCTTCTAGTCCAACCCCTTACTCAAGCAAGAGACCCTATACCATTTCAGACAAGTGGCTGTCCAGTGATGGAGTACCCCTAAGTCAAAGTATCCAGACTGCTGAGAATGGTTAGCCCATTCATAAGCAGGGTATCACAAACAGTCTTCCGGAATTTGAATAGAACTGAAAAAACGTCTTCTAAACTGGAAGTTCTTGGACCTCACTCAAGGACAACTGCTGCCTTGTTGGTCTCTTTGAGAGCACTAGTTGGGCTAATCTGAGCGAGCGTGACATTTTCTATCCATGAGGGATGGATTTTGTGTTTGTCTATGCAACCTCTGCCTCTTGGTTGTTATGGACAGTCATGAAGCATTGAAAGAGTGGGTTGATGGGGCCTGAATCTTCCATCACTCTGTCCCTCTAAGCTGCTGGGATTTTACACTTTCGAAATAAATATGGACTTGGGCTGCATAATTCTCATTTCCATCACAAGATTGGTGTCTTTAATATTTTTTTGCATGTGCTGTCACACCTACTGTGTGCCATGTTTTGGAGATGTTTCCTTCCCTTCCCTTCCCTTCCCATCCCATCCCATCCCATCCTTGTTCTTCCCTTCCCTTCCCTGCCCTGCCCTGCCTTTCCCTTCCCTGCCCTTTCCTGCACTGCACTGTCTTCTCCCTCCCTCTCATTCCCATCTCCTTCCTTCCTTCCTTCCTTCCTTCCTTCCTTCCTTCCTTCCTTCCTTCCTTCCTTCCTCCCTCCCTCTCTCCCTCCCTCCCTCCCTCCCCAAATAATGATGGGTGTCTGATGAAATAAGCTAAGTAACAGGTTCACTATTAACTTGTTGCATTAATTTCTCAGAATTCCTGAAGCTGCTGCCTGCAAGGAGTGCATGATTTTTGCCACCAGCTACCTTATCTCCTTGACAATGGAGCCGCCACCAACTTTGTCTCACAATCTGTCAAGCTCTCCCCTCATCACCATCCATATGAAGCATCAACTGGTAAGTGATGATTAATCTTTCAGTATTTCCCCCACTTTTGGGTGACAAAAAACTCGGGGGGGATCACGCTACATTTCCATGAAGTGTGATTCTCCAACCAACAACAACAACAAAAAATTTCAGGAGATTATTCTAAAAACCATCATTTATAAATTTCTTAATTCTCACTGGTTCTCAGGGAAACTGTGGAAAAGTCAAACTCTACCCTCATGTACGTAGTTGTTAGTTGCAGAGGGAAAATAGTTGAGTTGGTGCAATTCTTGTAACCCTACCTTAATCAGTCTTGCTAAATGAGAATCATTTTTGGAAAATCAGTTGCTTTGGGTTTTAGGCAGAGATCAAGTGCTTGACAAGTATAGAAATATCAAAGACAAAATTGGACTCAAGAATTAAATGTTTCAATACATGTTTAATTTAATGCAGCATAAGGAGAGTTGGGTATGTTAAAAAAAGAAAAGAACTTGGATTTCTGTAGAAGCCAATTTCCAAAATCTATCAAAGTCAATTTAGGATGTTGAATGAAGTCAGACAGTGCCATTTTTTCTCTGATCAAAATTTAATTGTTCTCCTTTTTGGTTTTTGAATATTTGTCTGAAAAAGGACATGGGATTCTGGAAATATTAAACTAAAACACAGAGAGAGGGAAAGAGAGAGAGAGAGAGAGAAAGAGAAAAAAGAGTGGAAAAGAGAGACAAATACAGAGAGAAAGACAAAGAGAGACAGAGGGAAAGAAAAAGAAAAAATGAAAGAAAGAGCAAAAAGAAAAGAGAGAAAAAGAGAGAGAGAGAGAAAAGGAGAGAGAGAAAGAAAGAGAGAGAGAGAGAGAATTATTGATAAAAATATTGCTCTAGTAACAGTTATTAAATGAGATGGGTTTTTTTTTTACAAATCCTCAGATCTTGGCAAGAGACTGTGATAGTAAAAACAAGGCCTCTGTATCAGCCCTACTCTGTTATGGAAGGAGAAATTGTTGGCATCTGGTTCAATAGACATATTTTCTGTCATCTGCAATGTAATAGGATTACTAATTGATTTGCTGCAGATGGTGACTCTCAGGCGCGAGGGTGGGGTAAATGAAGAACACAGATATTGATTTTAATTATTATTTTTCCTTCTCCCTTCCTTGGCTTGTGATTGTATGGAAAGTTTTTTGTTTTTTTAATGAATGCCTTTCCCAGCATGCCTTTCTAGTCAGCCGAAAGGTTGTAACATCTGCACAATTTCTTGTCTTGGATAAGTCAACTAACTTATCCAGGTTATATTTGGTGAGGTGGTTTCCATGATTCGAAATACTTTCTCATATTTCGAGGCAGGTCATCGAGATAGAATTTTATGGGCAGCAAAAGACGACCAGCCATTTCTTCCATCTCAAAAGTTTGCTGGTTGGTTCCAGTTGTGGCTGGGGAAACGACAACAGATTATCACAAAGGCTTTCTTTTTTCTTTTTGTCAAGTTCTTTATTTTATACTATTTATACATATCAATGCGTGAACAGTGTGATACCTGGGTATCATACATTTTAGTACAGATCAGTGGTGGGATTCATTTTTTTTTTACTATCGGTTCTGTGGGCGTGGCTTGATGAGCATAACGTGGCTCGGTGGGTGTGGTATGGTTTGGTGGGCATGGTGTGGCTTGGTGGACATGGCAGGGGAAGGATACTGCAAAATCCCCCTTCCCTCCCCACCCCACTAACCTGCTTTCCAGCTCCGTTCTCCTGTGCAGGGCAACAAAAGAAGACCTGCCAATCAGCTGGGACTCGGGAGGCGGAGAATAGATGGGGGCGGGGCCAGTCAGAGGTGGGATTTTCCAGTTCTCTGAATTACTCAAAATTTCCGCTACCAGTTCTCCAGAACTGGTCAGAACCGGCTGAATACCACCTCTGGTACAGATAAACATAATGCTGTTACTCATAGTTATTACATTTCATTTCATTATTTCATGTTGTTTAAACATATCTAATACTACCACCATTCAATTTCTCAGCCTCCCTCTTTTTATTACATAATATCTTGTTATATTAAAATATGTATATTGTTGTTCCCCTCTTATTTCTATTTCTATTCTTTCTTATTTTCCCCATTAGTTCATTTAAACATAAATAACATTTCTTTTCACCCTGATTTATTATCCCCTGCCTTATATTTAATATTTTGAAAATTACTCGTTTTTCCACCATGCTTTCAATACCCCAAATATCCAAAACTACTGCACAAAGTTTTTGATTGTTGGATTTATCAACGGGGAAAAATGGGGATTGAGTTACAGATATCTCAGCTATTTGATGCTTCTGCACTTTCTCTCTCCATTGAAGGTGGGATTTCTGAATTCCCTTGGAGAAAATATTTGATAAACAAGGGAGGTGGCCGGCTATTTTTCTGATAATGGAAGAATGTGATGATATCCTGAGCTAGTAAAGTTTTTCAAACTCTTATCCATTTCTGGAGTTCTGAGAAGCTCGTAACATTGGGAAATTGAACCATAGTGGCTGATGCTGTGTATTTGCCTTCTCTAGAAATCAGGTTGCCACCAGAAGTTGTAGGGACTTCATCACTGGAGGTTTTTAAGAGGAGACTGGACAGTCACTTGTCTGAAATATTATAGGTTCTCTCCTGCTTGAGCAGGGGGCTGGACTAGAAGACCTCCAAGGTCCCTTCCAGCTCATTTATTCGAATTGAATCCTACATCTAAGGTAAGGTTGTCCAACCTTGGCAACTTAAAAATTTGTGGACTTCAACTCCTGGAATTCCTCAGCCTGCCACTGGGGAATTCTGAGAGTTGAAAGTCCACAAGTCTTAAAGTTGCCATCCTAAGGCCAATATATATTGACCTCTCTTTCTTCTACCTCCAGACCTTGGGGCTCCAACTCTTCCTTTGATGGATCTCCATCTCACCTCCATACAAAACTCTAAGCGTTTCTTCTCACTACCCCATCTTAAAAAGGGAGAAATTAGAGATTTTGGTAGCGTGCAGAAAAGAACATCTGAAGGGCATCCAAGGGATGGATTGCTTTCTTTCTCAGAACCCATTGCTGAAAAAAAATATATATCACGGCTTTCAGATGATGCTTGAAATCCAGAAAAACCAAACCAGCCTGCTTTCATTAGGGGCGGGAGAGGCTCCTTCCTTGCCTTTGGAAGTTGTGGGGGCTTCATCACTGGAAGCTTTCAAGAAGAGATTGGACATCTGTCAGAAACGGTGTAGGGTCTGCTTGGGCAGGGGGTTGGACTAGATGACCTATAAGGTCCCTTCCAATTCTGTTAATCTGTATCCTTTCCTTCCTTCCTTCCTTCCTTCCTTCCTTCCTTCCTTCCTTCCTTCCTTCCTTCCTTCCTTCCTTCCTTCCTTCCTTCCTTCCTTCTTTCCTTTTTTTAACAGTTTATTTATACCTTTTCTCTTTACATACCTAGGTGTTTGTGAACAGCGTATTGTCTGGATCAATTTGCTTATAGAATAGTACTTTTCCAGTTCCTAAGTTCTACTTCTATTATCCAACCATTGGTAAAACAAGCCCCATGTTTGAAAATATGCTGTATCTTCTTTTTCTTTTACCTTTAATGTCAATCTGTCCATTTCTGCACAGTCTAATATATTTTTAATTTCATCTCCTTCATTTTTCCAGTGCTGTGCAAATACAATTCTTGCTGCTGTCAAAACTTGTAGCCCTTTATCATACTTTTCTGGTACTATACCTAACAAAAATATTTCTGGCTTATACTTTATATTCTTCCTTCCTCCCTCCCTTTCTCTTTTCTTTCTTTCTTTCTTTCTTTCTTTCTTTCTTTCTTTCTTTCTTT